GTAAATAGGGAGTTTTATTGCGGGAGTTCTTCGAATTTAATGTTTTGATTTTTGCTACTGGCTCAGTTCACCGGCTTACTAATTACTGCAACATCAGGGTCAACAGATGCAGGATAAGGCATGATGTAGTTAAAATAACCCAATGTATTACGTTATACCTTTTGCAAATTACACTCAACAAAATTTCAGTTCTGCCAATTAAAGCGCGCCTTCTGTCCGTGGGATGGGACAAATCCTCAGATGAGTACTGATGTCCTGAAACGATCTTTACAAGGTTGAGACAGGAATAAAAGCATCCATAACATAACAGGGAATAGAAATTTAAAAAGGCGGTGTTAATTCCAAAAATTCGGGTTGAATTTTTACCACGTTACTTGCCTGAGGCAAACGCGCCCTAGCACTCCCTAAAAGGTTTCATTGCTTTTGTGTGCACGTGTTTCACATATTTGAGGTGAAATTGAAAGTAAAAAAAGAAACAGCGGTAAAGAGTATTTGGCGGATTTTGCTGTTAAAGGGTCCATCACCCCGCTGGCATAAAACCTCCAATGGAGAAAGACTGAAGACGAAAGTGAAGGTCATTACTTCCTGTTTGTCTTTGCTTTTACTCTCGTTCTACAAAGCATATTAGGATGTTCTTTTAGTTTCTGAATACGTGTAACCTTATCTTAACCATTTGCTTAATCTGACACATTTGCAAACCTTAGTACCTCTGATGTCCATGCCTCTATTAATGGTGGTATCGCCACCCTTTACAACTTGTGAATGTCCACAAGAGTAAGTCGGGTGGCACCAACTGGCTCGACACTACGTTTTTCCAGTAAGTGGCTGTTCCCACTCAGTCATTTGTGCATCAAATTTGGCAAATTTTTAAGTGAGTGATCCATGAACGCCTTTGTAACGTACCTCAAGCATTGAAAATCCAATTGCTTTATTAACAGTCACTGATTTGAATGAATTTTATGCTTTTCGCGAAAACAAAATTACTGATTTGACTAAATGCTGGACCGGTAAAATGAAGTTATCATTATGCATCCAAACTGCTCACAGTCCCTACTTTATATATCCCTTGCTTGTAGGATGTTAGCTAAGATTTTAAAGGATCGAAACTTCTAAACATTCAAGGAGTTTTAAAACCTTTTAGAATGGCTATTTAATAGTGGATTACACCTATTTATGCATCACGTTTAGTGCGAGTAAATTAATGGATGAAGTTTTTAAGCGTTGCTGGAGAGAAATACGAAGATTAGTGCTTCAACTCACCTGTATGTGGCTCTTCTAAGACTCAGTAAAATATTCGTTTTTACTGATATTGATGTTGGGACCTTATCGCCACATTCTCGCTGCCTTGAGGACTGCCCCCAACAGATCTCTAGCGCCTTGACCGAGCTGTGCCACCTCTGGGGGCGGGTCTCAACATCAGATCGCTCAACCACATGCTACGGAGCCTCCACTCATATCGAGACGCCAAGCTTTTTATATTCCACTCTCGTCATTGTGAAATAGTCATCATTTTTTGTATCTGCCATTTCAATAACTGCTGGTGGAACAGGATTAGAAATGCCAGTGGGTGGATGGTAGGAAAAGGAAATGTGAATGCTACCAGCTTTTTCGGTAGACTTAGTGTTGATGAGGATTAGAGGCTGTTGAGGCAAAGCAATTCGGCGTCTATCTTCTGCAAACAGTGAGATAACTAAAGGACAAATGGAAGAAATTGGGGGATGGACAAATATTCGGGTAAATGTAGTAAGGGGGTAAACACACTAGACGTGTCTGTGCAGGGGTATAGCAAGTCACACATGTTTGGGGCCCCGGACAATTAGTACCGCGCAGGATGAATGCGTGGATAGGTCAATTTAGTTCTGGGTAGCCATGTGATGGGATGTAGGCCGTGTCGAATAACCCTGAGACAAACGAATGACAGGCATCCAAGTCAAGGGTACCACTTTGGTAATGTATGCCACCACTGGATTTGTTTGATCATTGCCAGTAAATAGATGTACACACCACTAAAAATCTTGGCCAAAAAGAGCTAGATAATGTGTCTAGGAACCTGATGATTTTAGTACCTGAGTAAAGGTATCAACCGGTTTGGTTTCAGTTGTATGCGTATTTCGTGGCTTCGCATTATTGAATATAGTATCCAGATGTATATCTGACTGGAAACCCTATGTTAGTGTTATTTCAGTTGATGTATTTAAAAAAATAAGCAATCGCCGAAAATCCCAAATTACACCAAAAGATTCTTTTGAAAACGTATGATTTTCCAAACATTCATTCGGCTAAACGACCAACTTTTTTAACCTAACTTTCCAGAAATAATGGATTTGTAAATGCACGCTGCATCTCAATACATAATGTCGCGTATGAACTACTAAACAAATGCATCTGTTTTTTAGGTATAATGATAACGTTGTTAGGAAATCTTTAAAGAAACTAAGTGCTGATTTGCTGTTGATGAAAGTCTGATAGTTTACTGCCGTACTTACTGCAATATCAATGAAATAAATTAAAGGCTTTCATCGTCATTAGATTAGTGCTTCTTGAATTTTTACGCATAGCCATTATACTTTGTGCATATGCAACATAAAATATTGAACTTTTTAGCTGCTTCTTCTAAAATTGAGTTGGAAGTCGTACATTCAATCAATCAAAATGAACTTTGCCAAATAATGTGCACACATTTTTGTGCTTTCGTCAAGACCCCAGCAATAAGTAATTGCCAATTTTCGTTTAAAAAAAATTATTTTTTTTGACCTCAATTTATTGCTTTTTTTTCTTGTGTTTTTATTTATTCGGTTGTTTATCTGAGGTGGCCTTCGTACACATTTTTGGATGCTAATGAATGGTATTTTCGTCTGAGTTATGGATGTAAGTCTCCTCATTGCGTGTGTTTTCACGCTATAGCCTCAATTACTAAAAAATCGTTTTTTGCTCGCCTTTTTTCTTGTTTACACCCCCTTTCTCATCCGTTAGCTAAAAACATTAGTTTAACAGATAAATATTTCACTTTTGCGACCCTAGGCCTATTCTGGGCCTTTTTAATTATGTTTCGCACCGGGTATTACTTTTCACATATTTATGCTTGATTTGACATAGAATAGATTATTCTAGGACGCAGTGCCTTCTGTGTCTATTTGTTACTATTACAATTTTCAGTAAAATGCCTTGACATTATTTTCATCCGTGTTCTTTGGGCTCATTAGGTATTTCTTTTTTGAAATTTACCCTTTTTAATTTTTTTGAGTCATTTTGGCTTACTATCACCTTTAGCGGAGTGGTGCAGATTCGCCACGGCATTGCAGAATTCGGGTTGCATGATTTTTAAACGGGGTGGAGGTCCCAACCCGTTAAGTTTAAGCATTCGCTGTTGCACTGCATGCTAATTTGCAACACTCCTACACACATGCTGTTTGTCTTTATCCAAGTGCATTGAAACTAATTACTTGAAAGGCTGGAATATGTATTGCTAGCGAAACTGGAATGGAGGTTGCTTATTCGTATTGTGATTTCAATGCTGGTAATGATGGTCGGGGTACATTAAACCTTCTGTGTAATTTTTGATGGTGTGGGGAACTTGAATTTTACACAGAGTGGAATAAATGCCTCTTCATTGCTACCTTCTCTCTTTAGATGCCCTATCGGACCTTTGCCACTCGTAGTTCGCGATCAAGCGAGCGGTTTGAGCAATTGGGTCGTGGCAACCGGGGGAGTGGAGGAAAGGGCGACTCCTCCGCCAAAACCACCGCTCCCACACGAAAACGTGTCAACGTCGTTACCTTTCGACCCTCTCCCTCCCCCGTTGACGAAGTTGGAAAGGGAAGCACTCAAATTTCCCCTTTAGAACTCTCCCGTAGTACGACTACCCTCGCCCCCATTTCATCCTCATCGAAATCTACCAGTGTGCCCAGTCGAGAATTTCGTGCCGTCGCGATGAAGATCCCTGACTCGGCGCCTATGATTTCACCGAAATTCAGGCGGGTAGGCTCATCCATTCCTTACTTTTGCTACATAGTGATCTTGAAAGAATCATTCTTCATTCTGCTTTGTCCTCGCACTCTTAGAAATATACATCGGTGTCTGCAGGACTTTATGGTCCCTCGAACGAGCGGGTTTAAAGTGAAGTGTTTGTGATTGTAGACGAGTAGCTTCCATAACTTCATAGTAGCTGTCGAATAAAATTGATTTCTATTAAGTGTGGTTTTCTGCATTGTTACTGGCTAAAATAGATTTATTTGTTGAAGTAGCGAATTCATAAATCAGGTCCACCTGTTGTCTACCTTGTGAGTTGATTTTTTGCTTAGATCATTGTCACTGCCTCTCAATTTCCAATGACTTGAGTCAATTCTAGCTAACTAATGTTCTGCACATTTCCATCGGCTGAAAGGGTTGGAATTTCTATGCTAATCAATTTGAAAGCTCCAAATGACGTTAACGTAGAGTTGCTTCATAGTTCATATTGGCTGATTTCATTTAAGACTTTGTCACTCAAAGTGCCTTATGCACACGGCTTCGATGGCAGGACATGAAACTACCTCACTTGTCGGAATTTGAAATTTTCATTAGTATTTTAGTAGATTTGGGTTTCTCCAACTACCTGCCAAGTCTCAAATTCTAGAGGGGTCAGCTTCTAAGTGTAGTCATTAATCGTATGGATGTTTTGTATCCTAATGTGCTTTAGAAGCGGCAAATTTCTACAATGACATGACTGGCGCTGCATAGAATTGTCTCATTTATAACTGATATGATGGCGAGATTTTATACTGGCGAAAATCCTCTTAATATCTCATTTAGAATATTTTTAGTTGGCTTAATTCTGATTGACGCTTTTCTTCCCATTCTCATTGGTTGAGAAGGAAGGGAATGTTGAGTAAGGTGAGATTTCATCAAGGATCTCTTCATTCAGGTGAAATATGCTGGTTCACAATGGCGTTTTGCACAGTCTGCGGAGGATTACGTGAGTTTGTTACGTCTGCATGCCTCGTTACCTCATTCTCCGGGTGCTAAGTGCGCATTCGATGTGCTTTTTGCTGTCGTGTTCAAAGTATTCAGTAACGATTTGCCAAACTCTGATTGATGGTCTCATTACCCCTCGATTTGAACCGTGATGGCATATCTTTTGGCATGGAATGTCTGATTTTCTCTAGTCATTACCTTCGATTTCGCTCGTAGTTTCCGAGTGGCACCACTTTACGGGAATTGCTAACGAAAAAGTCAACAAATTCAGACACTACTGAATCCAGAAGGCCTTGTGATTGGCAGAATTTCGCATCTTACCTGCAACTCTTTCCACCAATATTTGTTTAAACTATAATATTTGATATATTGTCATTTGTAGCGGGCCAATCACCGAAGCGGACCGTCTAAATCCTGCCTCCAACAGCCTTTAGCTACCACCAATCAGCGTTCAAGGCTCGCCCCAAACCAATCACTAGCGAAAATTACGCCGCCGTCACCCTTAACTAGTGAGAAATCAGAGGCTGATCCATACGCCTGGGTGGAGGAGGATGAGGAAAAACCAGAGCCAGAACCAAAGTCGTCGGTGTTCGCGTTTAGGGAGGAGGATGAAGAGGATGATGGGATCAAGCCCTGGTTCTGGCCGGCATCCAGAGACGCTGTCAAGCCAACACCAACAACACATCCTCATCCGTCGCATCCACCTTCGACCGATAGAAAAGTAGGTGCAAAAGGCGCTCCTCCTCCATTGACCAACGGTACTGGTGTGGAGGCTAAAACCAAAAATAATGCTGCTATGGATAAAAGTGATGTGAGTTATCTCTTGATGTAGATTGAAGATCTTTCGGCTGACGCAACTCCCGATTCTTGTAACATGGTGTGATTTGGGACGGTTTTGCCTTAATCACTAAATCAAATCAAAGATAGCATGTGGTAAAAGACGGAGTTTTGAATATTACTCTTCCTAACAGTTGATTTAATGCAGTAGATTATTCATCTTGAGCCGATTAGTGGTTTTTTCTTGGCTTAGTATGGTCCAGGTATGCACATAATAATTTTGTATCAATTTAATTTAATATTTTATTACCCCCTTCCTCCATTGACACGCAAGTCGGTCATCTAGCCTAACTAGGATCAGAAAAAAAGTTATTCTTCTTGTGTTGGGGTCCCCATCTGATCTACAACAATTCCTCCAAGTATATTCGCATTAAAACAATGTTTAAATTCTGGGCGGATGCTTCGAAAAGCTAGTAGCCTTTTGGAATATCTTATCAATTTCGTTCTCAAGAGGTATTTCAGTCCATTATTGGCCAATTCAACATTAACAATCGCGGATTTTTCTACCCTAAGTATTTTAAACATTTGAAATGGCTTTACAAATCACTATAGCTGCCAATACACATTTTCGTACATGCTTCCAGATGGATAGATGCATCCACTTCCTTCTAACACGACTGATTTTGAATTATCTTCGCCTTTGGACATTAGTACTACCTATCATTTGTGCTTGCATAGATAAGTATTCTGCCCTGCCTTTCTCCCTTTCAGTTGTACGCAGCTGGCGATAAGGTGAAGACCTCCCTCGATAGTCAGGAGCGCAGCAGTGTCCAACATGCCCTGGACGACATGAACTACCTCATTGACGGTCTTAGCGATGCCAACACCACTGACGCCCGGTGCCTCAGGTAGCCTACTTTTAAGTCATTTAAGCGGCTTCACCCTCCTCTTCGGTTGTCTATTTAGGTGTTTTTCATTTTCGTTTGCATTTAGTATTCTCTCCTTGGCCAACCAATGCCTCACTCCAACCACGCGAGATCTCGTCCACGCCTATGGACTGCTTAAGCAAATTTGTGCCAACCTTCATGACGCTCACACGGACTATGTAAGTTGTTTGTCTAATTCATTTGTTAAATTGCTGGCTTGCAAGAAGGCGTTCAGTCATTTGGTGCCATTGTTTGTGCGAACGAGTGATTGGTCTCTTACCTAGGTAGGTGACTGTTTGTGCTCCACTTTCCTAATTCAATCTGTTCTCGACTGTTTTCTCTTGGATCGTTTCCATGCCGCGAATGGCTCGACCGTGTTTTCCTCATCTTCCTGTTCCATTGTGAGTCTCGCACATGCAGATGTCCTCCTCCTGCAAGATCGGTGTTTTTTGAAAAGGGTCCATAGAGTTATTGCTGATACCGTAATGAGGCCTTACCTCTCGGTCGACCGGTAGTAGAGCTCTGTCCTCCCATCGTGGAGGTTGACCTATGGCAAACTTAAACAGCTCGTGCAGTTAAATATCATTCTGCCTTGAAAAGGATCAAATGACGATTCTCTATTACGGCACAAAGGCTCCTTATTTCACTAGTTGGGGCGACTTTTGAATTTGGGTGAGTTCCCTGAATATCAACCCTCCCCTCTTTTAGGCGAAATATTTAGAGAAAGACTAAACGGTATTATAAAGCAGGCGCAACTCATATGCTAGTTCCTGCTCCGTAGAGGTATTTAGCTAAACGCAGATCGACCTCATAAAGTTGTATATCAGGGCTTCGCTCTCTTTTCATTCCCCCACCATTTCACTTTGCTTCGGTTTTTAATGCGGTTTAGCCCCGTATCTGAGCTATTTTCAGTTTGCCACAACATAAAGGCTTATTGCTGTAGGAATTATTTTATTTTGTAGATACTTTTGAGTCCTTTGAACGTAGTAGCCTCTTTGAGAGGCTTCGCCGATGCAGTTGTCTATCGTAGACACTTCACTGATTCCCTAATATTGCAGATCTTTTTAAATCAAGCAGTCAGATCGGGTAGAAGAAGGTAGGTATTCGTAAAACTCTGATATCTGGGTCTTCAAAGCCTCTATCGAAACGATTGAATAAGTGTTTTTTCTCAAACTGGATCATCATTTCTACAATTTGAAATTGACGATAATGCTGGTGGGTATTTCTTGTCCTTTCACGTGGATGACATAAATATAACCTTGCTTGCGTGATTCCTCTGCCATTAAAATTCCTCCTTCGTTCGAAAAGCGTCGGAAGTAACAGGAAGTACTGTTTCTTTCGTTGCCGGTTTATTCCAAGTGAAATGCCGAGGTATTGCTTCCACCATGGACTTTAGCTTCTATCTGCCCTGTGGAAGAAAAGACGTCGGAGGTGGATAGAAATAATGAATTTAAGTTAGAGGTAGTTAACATCTAGTTTCTCCCCATTTCACTTGGATTCTGGAAAACACTTCTCATTAATCAAATTGAAAGTGGTCAATTTTTCCCCACCTACGCAGCTGGGATAGTTCATGGGTCTGATTTGCTCCTGAAGCGCAAAGATCCGTCAGCGCACAAAGAACATGATAAGAAAGTTGAGTTCCTCCTCAAAATCTTCTAATGCCCAATCACCTTTTAGTGAGCTAGTGGTGGACAACATGCATTCTTTCCAGCCGATCGGCCATTGCTTATATCTTGAACACGCCTAACAGCAACGCCAGTAACTGGCAATGACGTCTATTCCATGAACTTATGCGCAGAAGATGTCACCGTCGCTGCTTTTAAAGTGTCCGTTCTTTGGGTTTGGAAGAGGCTATTCAGGCGACTCTTATTGATACACTAAATGCATCAAAACGTTGATGCGTTATAGAAAGAGGAAATTGTAAATTAAATGAGATTTATTTTACCCTTCAGGCCCCTAAGGCGGGCGGATAGATGCTGAAAGCCTCCGCAAAATTTGCACGTGTTTCGCACGACTCCACGCAGTTCAGATTGTGAATAACCCACGCCCTGACCTTGCAAACTTCTTTTGCGTGGACCAAAGCTAGAGCAAGCTCGTGATGGTAGACGCATACACTCACCTC